ATGGTGGGTATCACAATTAAAATTCAACTCAGAGCATCCCAATATGGAATAAAATGATAATTTTCCATACCTCCTGGATGGATGCTTGTTATGTTGTCCCATTCTTCACGGACTCGTAACACCTCCTCCGAAATATCTGTAGCAAGGAAAAAATAAGATGACGCACTAGAACTTGAGAGACCGCCTGCTGCCAATTACCTCCCAAAGACCCATTAGATCACACAGGGCAGGCCTCCTCCAGGTTCCGTCTACCAGCCAATGTCATCTGGCTACTACCCAGGGGAGGGCCTTCTCTGTGGCAGCTCCAGCCCTTTGGAACAAACTCCCCGCAGAGTTCCAGACCCTCACCTCTCTCCAGGCCTTCCGAAAAGCCTTTAAAACCTGGCTGTGTCGGCAGACCTGGGGTTGATGAGTTCCCTTCCCCTCTCGATTCGTGTGGCTGTTGGTTGTTTTTAAATGCCTTGTATTTGTAGTTTTTGTGTTTCCCTTTCCCTCCTTGTGATTGTAAGCCGCCCTGAGTCCCCTCAGGGAGAAGGGCGGCCTATAAATCTCAATAAAATGTGTAAAATGTGTAAATGAGTTGTTGGTTGCGATTTGGAGTTGCCAATTGTTTGACCATTCTGACACATAGTCAGGATTGCTTTATAGGGCAGCAGGATTGTTGGTGGTGTCAAATTGTTTTATGTCATCAGCGAAGAGGATGCAGTTGCTTATAATTACGTCACCTTTCCCCATTCTGCTAGATCTATTTAAATTGACCAACAGTAATGCAAAGAATACAATCCTGTTTGTTTAGAAGACCCAAGAATGTAACAATATATTGCAGAGGATTACTTAGTCCAGGTGTGCATATTAGGAAAACGTGTACACAAAGGCACTCGTTGCCTTGAACTCGCTGAAGATTTCTTCTCTTCCCAGGTTTGCAAGAAAAGCCAACAAAAATTAATCTCTTTTAATGAGTAGGAGACAGATGCTGCCCTTTTGCGAGGTCTGAAGTATACTTCCTAAATTATTTACAAAGCATGCAGTGCCCTGTGGCATGCATTTAATCTGGAAAAAGGGGGAAATTAAGGCTGGAGCTAAAGGCTTAATTTTGAAATATCTGAACGACTGGCAGATGGAAGATGGAGTAAACTCCGTTTTGCTCCACAGAGGGAAGGCCTAATCCAGTGAATAGAAAGTGCCAAGAAATAATATTTCTGTTTAACTTGGGGATTTATTGGATAGCGGAACAATGTTGTCAGAGGAAGAAATGAACTCATTTTAAGTAGCATTTTTGTTTGTCTGGGGAGATTCTCAGTCATCCAGGTGATGGCTGTCCCCAAAGGTGCTTTTTTTTCCAAGAGGCAACGGGACTTTCTGGATTTTCTTTCTCAGATGTTTCGCTTTTCATCCAAGAAGCTTCTTCAGCTCTGACTGGATGGTGGAGAATGGAACAATTTATGCTCCTTGCAGACAGCTGGTCATTTGCATTTTTCTTAGTGAGCCGTTGAGGCCACCTGAGGTTTATCTGTGTCCTCAGGTCACCTGTTCTGTGCAAATGGGAGTGGAGCAGGGGTGGGTTCCTTCCAGTTCTAACATCTTCTTTAGAAGAGGTTCCACAAATCTACAGTGCCGTTTAGAACCGGTTCCAGCTCCCTCCCCTCCGCCCGTCCGCACATCATCAAGATGAAGAACGAGAGGAGGAATTCTGGGAGTTGAAGTCCACAAGTCTTAAAGCTATCAAGTTTGAACACCCCTGGGTTTTTTTTTCTAAAGGGTTGGGGGTGCAAGGGCCTTGTAACTTGAGAGCTTTAAGACTTGCGGTAGGATACCGCTCTAGGAGTACTCTCTATGGTTGTATGCTACCATAGAGCGTACTTCCAGAGCAGCATCCGTCCTCCATGCTTTGAAAGTCGCAAACAAACAAACAAACTCCAAGTGATGGGTGGCGCCAGCAGTGGAGATGCCCTGGCTCTGCAGGTACTGTAGAGTTAGCCAATGGCATTGTGAGCCTGTGAGTTGCGCCAGCGGGGAGCAGAAAAGCCGCTTGCACAACCCCCCTCTCCAGCCATGCAAAGCCCCATTCACTCACCTAGGGGCATTCCGAAGGCACTGAGCCACGGGAGGTGGAGGGTGGCAAACAGGTTCTTGCGTTACTTGGTGCCTTCCCGGTACTGCTAGATCGGTCAGCGGCGCTATGCCCGGCTGGAAAGGGGGGGTTGCCAGTGGCTGCTCGCAGGTGTGGTCACCTCATGGCTGCTGTGTTGCTGCTGCGGCAGCGCAACACAGCCATTCGACCCTGAGGTTGTGCCCGGCTCTTCAGGAGCCTGGTCGCAAGGGAGCAGCCACCCAGCAACCCAAAACAATAAGCCCTCCCCTTTAATAAGCCCTCCCCTTTAATAAGCCCAAGGCCATATTTTGTGGGTCAAAAAAATATAAGACTCTGTCGTATTTTCAGGGAAACACGGTACCTATAGCAGACTAGAGAATCATTCTACAAAAAGGGGGTTAGTCTAGAGGTGAAAACCAGGAGACTGAATTCTAGTCCTGCCCTATGGATGAAAACCAACTGAATGAGTTCGGGCCAGTCACGCTCCCTCACCAAACCCACCTCCCAGGTTGTTGGGGGGAAAAGAGGAGGAGGAACAAGTATTATATATGTTCTCTGTGTTCTGAGCTAGATTTCCCAAGAGCATGAAGCAAACTCCTGGTCCCGAGAAAAAAAACCTTTTAGTAATTTACTGTGAATTCAGCAAAGTCTTTCAAGGGAGGATTTATAGACACAGACCTTATCTGGCTTGGAGAGCTGCCAGGCTGATATCTGCAAAACCTGGCAAGGAGTCTCAGAGAGTCACAAACCAATGAAGCGAACGAATTGTCTCCTGCAAACTCCCCTTTGGCTCCTATTTCCTCTGGGAGGGGCCATTCATCGTCCACCGCCTTACTCCGAAATCGACCGCTGTTCTTTAGCTGTTCCCTTCGTCTGGCAACTCTATGCGTGCACACACTGGGAACACGCTCCAACTGTTCTTCTGCCTCACTGATGTCTGACTCTGAAAGAAGCTGATAACTGGCATACGGCTCTGCCCCCCTCACTGCCTCCGACAAAGAGCCCTCTTCAGAGCCTTCCCCAGACTCCAGGACTGGCCCATGTTCCTCCCCAACCTCCTCACTCTCTGAATCTGCTGCCAGCTCTGCTGGCCACTGGCAGGCCACAATGCTCTGCCTTGAATCAAAGTAATAAAATAAATCTAATGAACCCAACCCTTGGTGTGATGTTTGGGTGACTCAGCGAAACGTCGAGATGCGCCTCACGCAATACCCACTTCAATGCCTCAACCGAGGGAGGAGAAAAGCCTTCAACTTTCCTTGAAACCATCTTGCCGTGTCTTTTTTTGGTTCTTCTCTCCACATCACCCACTTTCCTTCGCCATCTTCCTTCTTCCTTCCTCCACCCACAGAGTCAGAACAGCTGCCTTCCCTCCTGCCAATCTAAACCAAGCCAAGTGGTATATATTTCATATGCCTATACCAGCAGCTCTTTAATTATCTTTTCCGTGCCTTTTATTTTATTTTTTTGCTTTCGCCTTCCAGTTTTTGCTTCCCCCCCACCACTCCGGCTGCAGAAACCTTTCAAATCCCTAAAGAGCAGAGAACGCTACAGATAAATTGAGGAACATACATGCCAATAATGCTCTTTCCTCAGTTCTAAATTCAAACAGGTGGCAGAAAAACTAAGCTAACAAACAGCTCAGTTTTGACAACCTGAAGGCAGGGCGAGAAGAAATGGATGGGGAACTAATCAAGGAGAGAAACAACAGAGAACTAAGGAGAAATCTCCTAACAGGTAAAAAACAGTTAGGAAGTTGTGGGAGGTTCATCATGGGAAGCTTTCAAGAAGAGATTGGACTATTTGTCAGAAATGGTGTAGGGTCTCCACCTTGAGTGGGGCGGGTGGGTCTAGATGACCTACAAGGTCCCTTCCAACTCTGTCAATCTGTAAAAAGTTAATCAGTGGAACGACTTACCTCCAGAAATTGTGAATTCTCCAACACTAGAAGTGTTTAAGAAGAGATTGGCCAGCCATTTCTCTGAAACGGTATAGGGTTTCCTCCCTAGGCAGGGGGTTGGACTAGAAGACCTCCAAGGTCCCTTCCAACTCTGTTATTCTGTTATTTTAATCTTCCTCACATCTTTTGGAGAGCAGTGAAAACAAGTATACACCAAACTCAATCCAGTCAACCACTAATTATACCAGAAAAGTGCTTGGAAAGTTTCCATATGTTAAAAAGCAAGCGAGTTTCTATATTATTCCTTGCCTAAAGAATGTTTTCCTTGAGTAACTTATACATCAGATGCATTGAATATTTGGGGACAACTGAAGAGTGATTAAAAAAAAAACCTTTTCCTAAAATTTTAAAAACTCTATTGACATTTTCATAAGGACACTCTAATTATGTGGTTACTTAGGAGCTGACAACAACTTGATGGGACCTAATAAACAATCAATCAATGCTGGCAGCATCTTTAAAAAAATTGTTAGGGGATACAGACTGTAATTTTTATTTTTATTTTATACCTATTTATGTTTGAGATTCATCATCCAATCAACAACTGTATTAACATAGTCCTAGAGGAGTGAACGTTATACCATGTGATTAGTTTTGCTGGTTATTAGTCTGTCGTTATATTTATTTGCTTCGCTTGGTTTTTGTTCTTTTTAAATTTTGCTGGTTATTGACCAAATAAATATTATTGTTTGATCAATAGTCACATGTTAGGGTTTCTTGGCTTCTTTATAGAAGCCGAGGTGGCGCAGTGGTTAGACTGCAGTACTGCAGGCTACTTCAGCTGACTGCTAGTTCGGCAGTTCAGCAGTTCAAACCTTACCGGCTCAGGGTTGACTCAGCCTTCCATCCTTCCGAGGTGGGTAAAATGAGGACCCGGCTGACTATAAACTGCTTAGAGAGGGCTGAAAGCCCTATGAAGTGGTATATAAGTCTAACTGCTATTGCTATTGCTATTAGCTTTGTTCTACTACCTGGTCAGTCACTAACCTGGAAAAATCTCCTTTGAGATCTGGTAGCACACAATTTGAGGGACGCAGTGGCTCAGTAGCTCAGTGGCTAAGATGCTGACCTTGCTGATCTGAAAGGCTGGCAGTTTGACGGTTTGAATCCCTAGCACTATGTAACGGAGTGAGCTCCCGTTGTCCCAGCTTCTGCCAACCTAGCAGGTCGAAAGCACATAAAAATGCAAGTAGAAAAATAGGGACCACCTTTGGTGGGAAGGTAACAGTGTTACGTGCACCTTCGGAGTTTAGTCATGCCAGCCACATGGCCACAGAGACATCTTCAGACAGTGCTGGCTCTTCAGCGCTTGAAACAGAGATGAGCACTGCCACCTAGAGTCAAGAACAACTAGCACATATGTGCGAGGGGAACCTTATCTTTATCTTTTAGCCAGTGGTGGGTTAAACATTTTTTTGCAACCTATTCTGTAGGTGTGGCCTGTTCTGTGGAAGAGCTTGGTGGTCATGTGACCGGGTGGGCATGGCTTGGTTGTGTGACCGGGTGGGCGTGGCCAAGTTGGAAAATGTGGTGAAACTCACTTAACAATGCTCTTGTTTAGCAACCAAAATTTTAGGCTCAATTGTGGTCATAAGTTTTCTTTCTTTCTTTCTTTCTTTCTTTCTTTCTTTCTTTCTTTCTTTCTTTCTTTCTTTCTTTTTCTTTCTTTATTTCTTCCTTCCTTCCTTCTTGTGTCTCTCTTCCCTACATATTTTCTCTTTCCCTCCCTCCCTCCCTCCCTTCCTTTTTGTCTCTCTCTCTCTCTCCAACTTTCTTTCTTTCCTTCCTTCCTTCCTTTCTTTTTCTTCCTTCCTTCCATTCTTTCTTTCTTGTGTGTCTATCGCTCTTTCTTTCCTTCCTTTTCCTTCCTTCCTTCTTTCTTTTTTTTCTCTCTTTCTTTCTTTCTCTTTCCTTCTTTCTCTCTTTCTCTCTTTCCTCCGTCCCTCCTTCCTTCTTTCTTATCTTTCTGTCTCCAACTTTCTTTCTTTCCTTCCTTTCTTTCTTGTGTCTCTCCTTCCCCCTTTCCTTCCTTCCTTCTTTCTTTCTTTCCTTTTCCTCTTTCTTTCTTTCTTTCTTTCTTTCTTTCTTT